TATCGCCCAAACTGCAGACAGACCAACTTCAACAAGTTCGACTATTGTGCGAAGAGTTTGCAGACATATTTTCGGACCTTCCCGGCAAGACACAACTTGTCGAATGCTCTCTTGACCTCGTCATCGAAAAGCCGGTTCACGTGCCTCAGTACCCGATTCCTCTAGCGCTGCGTGAGAACGTCGAAAAAGAGGTACAGGAGATGCTTCGAATGGGCATAATCGAGAAATCAAAGTCGCCATATCATGCGCCGATCGTTGTCGTCAAGAAGGCCGACAACACCATACGGTTGTGCATTGACTTTAGGGAGCTGAACAAGACCTTGGTTTTCGACAGTGAGCCAATTCCGAGAATTGATGTTGTTCTAGCTCTTGTGGGGAAACAGAAATTTTTCTCGAAATTCGATTTCACGAAGGGCTATTGGCAAGTGCCCATGGCTCCAGACAGTCGAGAAAAGACGGCATTTTCAAGCATGTCGGAGCTCTACCACTTCAAATACATGCCTTTTGGGATTAAGACTGCCCCAGCGATATTTGCACGCCTTATGAGGAGAGTTCTAGGCGATTTGCCGAATGTGCATTATTATTTTGACGATGTGGTCATCGCTACTAGCACATGGCATGAACATATGGAAACCTTACGACTTGTCTTCGAAAGAATCCGCAATGCAAACCTCACAATCAAACCGAGCAAGTGTGAGATCGGAGAGCGCACCATTACATTCTTCGGACATCGCATTGGCGAGGCGAAGGTAGAACCAATGCTGAAAACGCTGGACAAGATCCTAGCCGCCAAGCGCCCCACGACGAAGAAAGCTGTACAATCCTTTCTCGGTCTTACGGGCTATTACAGGCAGTTCATTCCGAACTACGCAGAGATTTCCAAGCCCTTGACTGACCTTACCAAGAAAGGCCAACATCACATCGTATCGTGGGGACCGACGCAAGAAAAAGCATTCACCGTGCTGAAAGACAAGCTCGCCGCAAGTCCCATACTGCAAGCACCGGATCTTTCGAAGCATTTCGTGCTCCGTACTGATGCCTCAAGCACAAGCATCGGCGCAGTCCTTCTGCAAAACAGTGGGGACGATATTTTACATCCGGTTGTTTATGCTATAGTCGCAATCTGCTGCCTAGAGAGGCCCGCTATTCCACAATAGAGCGTGAATGCTTAGCGCTCGTGTGGGCTGTTCAGAAGTTCCACATTTACTTATGCGGCAAACCCTTCATTATTCAGTGCGACCACCAGCCACTCCGGTACTTGCAGTCAGCCAAACACGTCAATAATCGAGTGTTACGATGGAGTTTACTAATGCAAGAGTACAGCTTTACCGTAGAATACATAAAAGGCTCAGACAATGTAGGAGCGGACTACTTAAGTCGCATCTGAATTGCTCTAATCTTTCTCCACTTGTGTATTTTTCATGTGTGTTTTTTTTATTACGTGCTGTGTGGATCACAACCGTTCGGATTCGTGTGAACTTGTTCCCTCTTTACAAACGCGCCTGCACTTTTGCCTACTCACCGCCTGGCGTGGAGTGGAATAGTTGCTCACAACTATCTTAAGTGGGGGGTGGTGTGATGATGTGGATTGTGTGGCCCGTGACGGGGCGAAGAGGGAACGGCAGTTCTGCTCTGCGGTATGCCTTGGAGGCGAAGACGAGAAAAGGGAAGCGCGAGCAGGGCGTGCGGCTCGGGCAGTTGGAGCGTGACACGGTTCGAACGGCAGCTGCTGGTCAGCGGTTCGGGTCGCGACATCGCTTAACCAGGCGTCCGGCAGCCTCGCGGACCTGGTGAGCTGGCTTCCTACTTCGGGCTGCGTCACTCAACCAGGTGTCACGCAGCCTTGCGGACCTGGTGAGCTTGCTTCCCGCTCTGTGGCCGACGCTGACACGGGGACCGGCAGCATAGTCTGTTCGTGGCCTGAGGTCCTGGGGCCCGAGTGGTGGCACGAGGTGGCCGCGGCTCATGTTGGCGACGGGCCATTAACCTGCACTGCAGTGGCCTGGTGATCTACCGGCCTGCAGCACCACCATCACCACCACCACCACCTCACCACGGTCAAGGCAGCGTGACTGCACAAGGAACACCGGTGACGACCGACCTCGCCGCAGCGACAACAGTCATAACGGCGAGTAGGACAGTTCGTGTGCCGAGGCGCGTAGGACGTTTGGCATGTAAATAAGGAACGCTATAGTGTGTTGTGTGTGAATTGTAAGAGTTATCGGTTGTGTTAAAGTCTGTGTTGTGTGTACAGAGTCACCTGACTGCCGGTTGATTTATTCCGGATCCTGGGCCCACATTACACCTCAACACCCTGCATTATTTTCTGCGGATTACCACTGCGATTAGTAATCCGTCGTGGCACAGGTCAGTGACCTGCGCCCGACCATGTGGCAGCAGGGCTATTTTATAGCATGGGAGAAGCAAGCCCGAACAATGCTGCACTTGATTGTATAAAAGCCTGCTTCGTATGTTCCACAAACATCATCACTGAGGAAATCGAACGTACGTGTTATGACCAAGAGAGACATACATCAAGTGTTCCATCCGACCGTTCCAGACAACTCAGTATGCAACGCCGAGGCATCGCACTGCGAAACTACTTAGAAATCATTCGCGTATATCTGAATACTTTCAGGACTTTGGTTCCTGGAAACCACTGGTGTAAGATTGCCTCGTTTTCTTAAAAACAGGTCGATCCAGAAAAACCCGATGCATTACCCTATACATGTCCTGGTTCAGGATGTAAACATAATAATTTTCCTTGGGCATAAGTACATTCCAGACAAATTTGCACCGAATAGAGGAATTCTCTAACGCTTAAGACTGCTCGGTTATGAAAAAAAATATCACTCACTTCTTAAATACCTCAAACAATCTACATTACTCGCACCCACATAACAAGCCGTAAAATACATCAATGCAAGCGAAAAGCTCCAAGGTTGCCCGTCCATTCTGTTTTTCTCTGCTCTAACAGTTAAATAAACAGAAAAGCCAGGAAACCCATGTTGCGAAAAAGCATTGTACAGGTTATTATTCATCGGTATCATAAAGAGTATTCGTCATGCTCGCTTAAAAGCGAACGTTTAGTTAATATTGCACGCGTACTCTCGCTCCCAGATTTGCCAAACATGGGCCTTAGCTAGTGAGGTGGTCCTTTGGAAAGGAAGGTAAGCTTTGAGGTTGCGCACATTGAGGCCTCTTCACGTGACGTAAGTAAATGGGAATACGCGCCCCTTGACGCCTCCTCCGTGCCATTTTTCTCGTTATAACAGAAAGTGAAACGTGTTTTACAGAGGCAGTTGAACGTTTCTTCTCCACAAGGGTGAAGGCACCAATTCTAAAGTAACGAATTGAAAAGTCACGCGAAGAGCGGCAAGCAGCTCGAAACTTCCAGCACGCATCTCAAGCAGAAAGCACGCACGAAATGAGCACACTCAGGACGAGCACGCACTATTACAGATCGGCACATAAAGCATGTTGTTCAAACAGAAAGAAAGACGCAGAAAACGAGCGCAGAATTATACGCAGGACACGCGCGAAAAACTGGGACAATTTTTACTACTTTGGGTGCGAGCAGAGTGCTCCGTTCGTAAGCGCGAGCGAAGTGACATTCGTGTTCTCCCGAATCACGATAAGCACGCGCGCAGGAAAGATCCGTGGAAGCCCACGTTCATCGAAACGTCAGAGGTGATGAGAGCGCGCCCAGCGCAAGCTCTTCGCGCCATCTCACTACTGATAACGAAAACGCGCTGAAGCTGCGGAGCTCTGAGTAATGCCAAACTGCATATGGTGTATGTAGACCTTTCTCCGTTGACTAACACAGGCCCTCACTTTTGTCCACCGATGTGCCTTAATAGCATCGGTGGGCAAGAAGAGTTTTAGAAAATGGCCCACCGATTTTCTACAGTTATCTTATCTTAGTTGGCAAAATATATTCAAATGAATATTTTTCAGCTATATAAACGTTGTAGGAGGTTTCCTTGAACTTTACGCACATTCCTTTTATCTGAAAAACTAAGCAGAAAATGCCTTTATTCTCGAAAAAGGCTTGAAAATGCGCTTTCAGTTTTAACGTTAGGAGCTGGTAAATGAGGTGACCGGAAGTTATTTGGGGTACAAATATTGTTACCCTGAACCCGTATAAAGATAGCTTGCGGTTAGCTGCCTTGATAATAACGTACGCTCCATGACCTACAGTGGTTAGCGCCGCGCTCGAGAGACCACGCTGGTTCAACGCCACGCGATGGACCCTTCTACCCCTGTGGTTGATTTTTTTTTTACAAACTGTTAATATATATCTTGAAACGTCATATCCGTGACAGAAATACGTCAGTGAAGCCGTGGTGAACCTCGGCATAAAGCACTTTCGTGTTAAAAAATGTATATATGGCACTGCCAGTCAAATCCCTTTCGCCGAACACACTTTCAAAACTATCGTCAATGACTCATGCAGTCCACCGAATTCGTAGTCAGATACGATCCCGAAGGTTGCGGATTTCGTTCCGGCTGTGGTAGGCCCGTTTACTGTGCGACGTCAGTTTTTAATTTCCCTTACTGCGGCATGACTCATAATGATAGGGTCCATAAAACTCCAGCTATTATTCAAAAACGCTAGTAAGAAGAACTTGCCAAGAAAAAATATTTGTAGTAATTATGATATAAATGCGAAGAAATTGAAAAGACAACATTCCGCAGGCAAAGACCATCGAATGACGCGTTCTGTGCTGTAGAGCTAAGGCGGCGGTCGTCCAGACGATTCAACGGATTTCACTTTGTAGCACTAATAGTGCGCTTAGCTTGAGGGCATATCATCTGTGGAGGAGTTATTGGCTGTTATAGTTTTGAATGCACCGCGTACTAAGCCCCCGTGTTGAACGCAGAGATACGTCAACCGTGTCTACGCGACCGTATATCGTTTCTTGGCAGACAATATATAGTTGGGCTCTCGTATAGCTTTTGGTGGCTACGAGTAGAAAAAGCGTTTGCATCTACTTACCTGAAGCTTTTCAATGAACATGAGGACGTTGACGCTGGTAGAAGACATGCTGAACTTGACGGACACCATGTGATAGCCGCTGAGAAATGAAACAAGAAGCGACACAACAGAATTTCAGGAAGACTCGAAGCGAATCATCGAGCACCAGCGACATTCCCTGCCCGACGAATACTTATCCCCTAAACAATCACTTGGCAAACTTGATTTCGATATTATTGGAAAATAATCTCACAAAAAAGCAAGGAGAGCTTGCAAAAGCAAGCCCAGCTGTGTTGAAAAGATGCAATTTCCAGGCTGTCTTAAACGATTACTGGGCCGAACGTGCAACTATCGCTGCTCACAATTTCCAGAAAATAGGAAAGGTGCTTCGCTTACGCTCGTTTCTCGCAGCCCACTCCGATCACTATACAAGCTGTGTTGGCGCCTGTGTGCTTGGGTCTGCGAGCTCAACACATGCACAGCGCGCATCGACCATCTCACTCGATCAGTGGGCTACAAAAAAAAAAAAAATAACGCGACACGTTTACGTTATTAAACACTTTACACAAGTTTTCGCAATTCTCCTTCTGTCGCACGTCAGCACTACTCGCACGTACTTTCGAAGCTCGCGTTTACCGGATCCGGTGAGCTGATTGGAGACAGACTCACAGACGTGATGAAATGGTCACTCCTATTAGCTTTGTTTTCTCCATGGTGTTAACTATACTTTATTACAGATTGTGCCCCTTTACAAACAGTGTGAACTTATCATATCTGGTGGGGTGAAGCGTTTTGATTTCAAATGCTTGCTTCGTGTTTTTGCTCCGTGTTGGGACTATTCTGATAAATGCAAATGCGTTGACAGCTGGCCTTAACCTAATTATGTAATAATTGTGAGTTTCTCTCGGCTCACCCGTCTTCGAGAATGAGTCCTGGGTCTTCACGCTTTACTGGGTTGGCATCGTAAAACACTTCACTGCAAGACAATGCATACTCAAATTATCAGTTATATAAAAAAAGCTGCTCCGAGGTCTTAAATGGTTTTCATGGCGAGCGAAAGAAACAGGTTTGTCCTTCTGTTTAAGTGTACTTCCCTCTGTGTGGCCTAACCAAAGGCATAACCATTTTCTGTCAAAAAATGTTGCAATACTTAAATAACCTCTAGTTGGAACAGTTAGGAAGCAGGAAACAAGATAATTCTTCACAATGTATCACTGCTGCGCGCAAATTTGCACGCTTTCACTCCACGCATTTCTGGTAGTGCTGCTTGCTTTCAATCAATCTTTTGAAGATGAAAAAGGCAAAGTTATAATTAGGACAATAACCAGCGTTCTTTCCTAAACTTCAACGTACGAAACAACTTTGCTGCGACAGCAGTGATTAGGAGTTCCGTCAGAAGGGTCTACAGATGTATATGATTATTAAATTTTGAAAAATTACCATCGCACAAGAATAGTGCAGATTTAGGAGCGAGTAAAATCATTTAACGTTAAGAAAAGCCACAGTGTCCTCGGACGGAACCTTGGTGGAGGCCTCAATGAATGATTGCTCGAACCGCCTCGCGTGTTGTCACCACCAGGTCGAGCTCGGTGTCTCTAACAATCGTTGAAGCTCGCCGTCCACCATTTTTCATCATATGGACAGTCTGAACTTACCTTGTTTACCACATTTTGAACTGAAGACGAGAGTCATACCTTGAGCGTCGCACTTAGAGAAAGAAACAAATACCATCTTCCCAATAATGTATATAGAAGAAACAAAGAGCATTATTACCGAGCTTCCAGTTAGGTTCAGTTGGTATTGGTTACCTCCCTTGTATGTTACCATGACCAAGGGATGCAGTTATCAGTAGAGATAAGAGTACCTAAACAAATGCATATGTTCGTAATACAGAAGCTGGTGCTGTTCCACCCGCAGTACATGCACGTTTTTTGTAATTCGACTTCCTCCTCCTCAGCCTTTGTCATAAAAGCGCATTCGGTGATCAAGCTAACATATAAAATATCTCGATTGACAGTCGTTCGCAATTATGTGCTTTGCGATTTATACCATCAGTGAAAAATTATGCAAGGATGGCGCACAATATTGTGGACGATGTTATAGATGACACACAAAGCTATGCACAATGTTTGCGCTGTATGCAATCTACAAGAGAAACCATGCTAATATTTTGATTTCGCTGAAGGACATTATACGTTATGAATACAATCAAATTGCCTGACGAGCGTGAAAAAACAATAATGCATGATGGCACGTGAAGTGCAACTCGCTGCTCGTCCCTGTGACTCTCGGTGGTTTCACAGCCTTCTACGTCTAGTGAAAAATCCTCGTCGTCAGTATCAACATCACTGCTGCCCACTATGGATAAGTTCCAACTCGCCCGCCTTTCGGTGCTACGACATTTCTTCGCCTAACGACTTTTGGCCACACTTTCACCTGGGCGCGGAGAACATTTTTTTTCTGTCAACAAGCAAATCGCTTTCAGTGTGCCCATCAACAAACCTACAAATACAAGTGGCGCAGCACCTGACCAAATTAAGATTGCCTGTGCGACTTCTTGTGTACAAGAGATTCGTGCACTACAGAAGCACTAACGAATACTATGTACAAGCAAAATTGGGTGAGTTTCAACTAGAAAAGTCAGACAATAAAAAGTAACTGACTTGTGTAACTACAAATAACTTCGCGAAGCTTCTATGCGCATGCTGTGGGTTATCAATCACGGCGCGAGTTGTCACACTTTGCATCTCAGCAGTACGATTAAAATTTAAAATGATATTAGAACGGCGCAGAGATTAACCACAAAAGAAGACTGAACAACACGAGCGCTGTCTTCAACAGCATTGGAATGACGCTCCAAATTCGAGTCCTTTATGAGTGCAATGGCCTGCTTGTTAGCCTGCGCGGGTTTGAGCCCTGAAGGGACAAAATTCTTGCTTATGGCACTATGTGCTTTAACCCCAAACTGCTCTTGGGACATAACCACAAAAGATGCCTCTTTATCCGAAGAAAGCAACCTCAAACTATTCGCAACAAAGCGATAACATATTACGAAAACTGCTATGGATTGATTATTTACAGCTAACAATTGTCAAGTCCTGCAGTTGTCGACCGACATAGGGTTTGAAAGCACTAAGAGAGTGCATGCATTTTGGAAAAGGCCTTTGCGCACTTACTGGCACGGCACCCGGCAGTGAGCAGAGCAGACTTTCTCGTAGGATGGCCGCCACAGAGACGTGCACGCTTGCGGAGAAGAGAGAAGAGAAGGTCAAGACGGAGTATCCCAGCCACACACAGCGGATTTTCAGTGAACGGCGACACATTTTGTTTTCTCACATTCAATGTGACGCGATACTTAGGTTTGACGGCGACTCCATATCATGCTTCCTTCAGGTGGTATCAAGTGAGAGCCTGAACTAACTGACGAGCACATAGTTAAAATCCGGGTAAATTTTTATGCAGTTTTATCAGAAAACAATGTTGCCCATGGTTGTGATGGTGAAGGCAGGAAAACTGAGAACAGAGGCCCAGTATCTGCATGTTTCACTGCAAATGTCGTCAAAAGACGATAGTCTTGCGTGTGGAGAGAGTTAACAAAACGTTTATTTGATGTTCTGCGCGAAACAATTGGTGAATTATATTCTGGAAGAGCTGCGTTAGAGAGTTTCGATCCGTGCAGCGAAGGCGAACAAGCGCATCGAGGCACATTAGACACGAGCGCGATCTGGCAGTTCTCTTCAAAAACGAAGGGAGGCGTGCGCGCCCACGGAGAAAGATGCGCGCCTGTCTCGGAGGCGATAGGGTGTAGAACGCAAAGCGACAGGCAGGTGCCACCACCGTGTCGTCTTAGCAAAACGTTGAAAACGCTTGCCGTTTTGAGCATCGTGTTGCACTGTCAGTGCGGGGTGGGAAACGCTACGGTCCTTACAATTACTTTTGTGTGCCTTTTCTAGTGTAAGGTCACGCATACAAACTATTGACGTGTTGTTAAGGTGCCTCAGATAGGCACAATAATTGATTTTTAATTGACCATTCCCAAGTATGAACACTGAAACTTGAGCAATACTGCTGGGCGTTGCGGATAGGGTTCACCGTTTGGAGTATCGCTTAGTGCCGTTTGGGGTATCGTTACGACGGATTAGCAGACAAATGTACAGACAGACAGACAGACAGACAGACAGACAGACAGACAGACAGACAGACAGACAGACAGACAGACAGACAGACAGACAGACAGACAGACAGACAGACAGACAGACAGACAGACAGACAGACAGACAGACAGACAGACCAAAGCTGTGTCGAGGTACCCCAAGAAAGACTATCGTCTTAAAAAAAAAACTGTTTACGACCAAAACATCTATCCACCCAGAAACTCGAGATACATGTAATACACAGTCACAGCACAGTCGTCGGTCACTCGTGACGACTTTTACGCATGCCTGATCAAAGTTTCCGGTGTTGCTCGCTATTGGCCCCAGAAGAAACTCAACTGCTTGCATCGCACGCACTCTCTCATCATTGCAAAGTTTCTCCAACATTACAGCGAGCTCTACACCGCAGAGGTGGTAACAGCTTTCATATGTAAACCACCAGCATAAAGGTGAAAGCGTTCGTGACAATATTCTGACGAATTCACCGCTTCATGACATTGGCTATATCCGTTATTTCGTAACAGTATTTTAATTGAATGCAACGAAAAAAATCAAGTGATACTTCAATAAAGCGATGTGGAGGCCATCACACGCACTGCCGCGTCGATTGGACGGGGTTCTTCACAAGAGCCTCTCTTGCGCATGTGGGCTCCCCCTCGTGCTCCCATTTACGACAGACGTTCCGGTAGCATCGTAATATGTCTCGCTACGTTCTTCCATTGCGGCATGGGCATCCATGTCAATGTTCATGTTGTGTCAACGTTTCGTACCCTTTCATTTGAACACCTCTTGCAGAGCTTAGCAAGTAATGGAGGGGGGGGGGAGACGCTTCAAAGTAGATCAGTGCCACCTACCATGATACTCGTGGCTGGCGCAAAACGTTTCGTTGAGGAATGCCCGGAAGGGATAGTCAGTCAGCGTACAGCCACAGTGGCGCCTCGTCTCGTTCCGAACGCAGTCAGCGAAGCACGTCTGTTAAGCACATCAACGGTACTTGCTGGTGGATCAGGTTGTCGTGCAATAATGCTCAATGCAAAATGGTTGTTAACCATGCAAGCAATCGTTCATGTCCATTTCTTTCATAGATTCTATTACTGAACAAAATATTAACCAAAGTAATTTCTTAGCGCATCACCAGATTTTAGTCAATCTTCAAGATGGGACCTTCCTACCATACATGAAACCAGTTTCATTATATGCGTATCAACGCAATCAGTGCAGTCCCTCGTCTTAAATAGAAATAAATACAGGCGATGTTCTAACCGATGCCATGAGGAAGAAATTCACGTTCCGCAGGTGACGTAGCGCGTGCATATTGTAATTTTACGTTCTTATCCGCAAGCCCACAGGTCACCCGATGCATCATTTACTTACAGATACATGATATTTACTAATGGCGTAGCTTAATGCCGTTCGGTTCTTTATATTAATAATCACGTGCTTACTTCTTGAGTGTGATAAGCAGGGTAGTGAGCCAGCTTTTCCCATTTCGCATAATCCACGCAGTTGGTGTCGTACGGAAACTCCAGCCTCTTGAGCATTCTCTGTAAGGGCATCAACCTTGTTTTAATGAACAACATATGAAGGTGCCTACATGCTTCGTCTGCGTGTACGAAAAGGTGATTCATGACAGAAGGGCCCCGAAAAAGACGAATTAGTAGAGAGATATCGTGCTACGTCACACGGTTGTAATGAATGTAGTTTATCAACGTTTTCAGTTAGTTTAGCTCCCGTAGTATTGCGGCCCACAACAAGTTTGTGTATGCCTGTAAAATAGTGCCGCGGATCTCAACCAGTCACTGCACGAATGCACTGAGCTGGGTACTGTCTTGTTTCATAATTATTCGCTGTAATCATTTCCTGCCGTTATTGTCAGGAAAAAAAACAAAAGCTTCGCTTACATGCGTCACACACGGACGAACAAATGGAAATCCCGAAAAAGAACCCCTAATACTTCATCATGGTAACCCTTCACAATGACAAGAACTACAACGAAATAAAAAAAACTAATACAAAGGATGCTGTGAGTGTAGCATTTACTATGTTTGTACGAAGGACAGTGCAGAACACAGTACAATAGCAATTCTTTTCAATAATTTCGATATTTGAAAAATTACCCACAATGCTCATAAGTGACAAGTATATAATGATTACAGACAGGTAACGCATATTCCTGCAAACATTCAGTTCTCGTGACAGTACAGCCAGAAGCACATGTGCGCACACCCTTCCCCCCCCCCACACACAGAAAAAAAAGACAGAACTACATTACATCAATGCTTTTGCGTGCCGAAACTAGTTACGTACAAGTACTGATATGCGAACATTCCCATATCAAAGAAACAAATAAAAACACCGAAATGCAAGAAACACAAAAATAATTTATCACTTTACCACGCGATCTTCTGCATACAACTGGAGATTAGTAAGGAAAAAGAAAACATGGAAATAATGCGAAAAGGTGCCGTGCAACGTTATATGAACAAAGCACGTATTCGACCGCGATCGTAGGCAGGTTTGCTGATCAAAATTATATAGACTCGTTTACGAATAAATGCATTTTGGCACAGAGACTCTATTGAAGATAGTGGTAGATAATCAGCGCGATCAACAAAAACAGGAGTGTTTCTCGAAGCATGCTGCGTGTATTGCATCTATAGGAAGACACGGTTAAAATCAATGATTTAGTGAACACGCAAGTGAGTGTTTCTGTGCTTTCTGTAATATAAAAAACAACGTGTTCAATTCTTGATTAACCAAGAAACGTGGATTTCGTAGTGACTTTGCTGCTGAACCTGTATATGGCTATAGAGGAAACGAAAATCTGTTCCTCCTCGTCGCACTAAACGTCTCCATTGGCTGCACCGCCAGTAACGTCATTCTTTACATCGCACCTAAGCATATGTTACGTCGCTCTCTCCATCGTACCCAAGCATGCGCGCATTGGTTGGCGGATGCTTGGAGGGAACTGCGGCTCGTAGCAGAGCAGCCTTAACGTGGCAATGATGTGACGCTTTCTGCAGGAGTTTCTCGAGCGGCCAGAGAACACTTACTCGGCTGCGGAACTTCAGGGGAGACGATGCCGTTCAGTAGGCGTCTGCCATGCGCGCATGCAGTCAAACACCGCCACATGGCGGTGTTTGACGACGTGGCGGTGAACTCAATTCGTCTCGCCGGCAGCACGCATTACTTAGCCGTTGACCTCAGAGAATGGCAGCTTTTCTTGTCACTGCTGTACGATGAACGGGCGGCGAAGAGTTGCCGTTTCTGCATATGAGCTTGGGCCGTTCGCGGAAAATCACAAGTCCGCACGCCACGCCGTTTTACAAAGCCTTCACCAGTGAGATATACAGTGCTCTTACTGTCGAGCCATGAAACCGGCTCTACGTAAAAGAGATGCGGTTCAACGTGGTCGAAAAGATCATTGATATGATTGACTGATATGTGGGGTTTAACGCCCCAAAACCATTATATGATTATGAGAGACGCCGTAGTGGAGGTCTCCGGAAATTTAGACCACCTGGGGTTCTTTAACGTGCACCCAAATCTGAGCACACGGGCCTGCAACATTTCCGCCTCCATCGGAAATGCAGCCGCTGCTGCTGGGATTCGATCCCGCGACCTGCGGGTCAGCAGCCGAGTACCTTAGCCACTAGACCACCGCGGCGGGGTCGGTCGAAAAGATCATCACATTTTATACCAACAATGTTACGAGCACTATTCATAACTCGCCATCAACTACAGAAAGGGGCGAGTTCACCTGAGATGCTCTTGACGAAGACACAGAGTGTTCATGCGCGGAATCACAAATGCGGACCATTGCTGTCAGAAACACAAGCAAAATATGTTCGCAATCCCCAGGCGACTGGGCAAGCTAACGACATTTATTATTTTGTCTGCCTCTAAAGTTCACTGGGGCCATTTATTGGGCTGCTCGCACGCATCGAGGCACAAGGCGACGGCACGCAACGCCTGTCAGTGCAGGAGATGGCGTTTCGGACGCCAAACGTGTCAAAATTTTAAACAATGATACTAAAGCGTGTGCAATGTACGTCAAAAGCTCTTCGACCAAATCCTCAACATCCTCAA